AGGCTCTCCCTAAACCCGGTGTTTCCGTTACCCACCATTCTGGGCGCCGGCCCTCTCCTCTCTCTCCAGGGTCAGGGTTATTGTTAGTTTTAGGGTTAGGGTTAGGGTCAGGGTTATTGTTAGTTTTAGGGTCAGGGTTAGGGTTAGGGTTAGGGTCATTGATGTGGTCCACCATAACATCAGTAACAGGTCAGTTTGAAATGAAAGACACAATTCAGTTCAATTTTGGGGTCTTTGTTTGTATCCTTGTGTCGAAAATGGTATCGAGTATTTTCCTGAGTATCCAGTTGAAAATTTCAGTATCGTGACAGCCCTAGTAAGACTTGGAGGCTCTCCCTAAACCCATATTTCCGTTACCCACCATTCTCGGCGCCGGCCCTCTCCTCTCTCTCCAGGGTCAGGGTTATTGTTAGGGTTAGAGTCAGGGTTAGGGTTAGGGTTAGGGTTAGGGTTAGAGTCAGGGTTAGGGTTAGGGTTAGAGTTAGGGTTAGGGTTAGGGTCAGGGTTATTGTTAGGGTTAGGGTTAGGGTCATTAATGTGGGCCACCATAACATCAGTAACAGGTCAGTTTGAAATGAAAGACACAATTCAGTTAAATGTTGGGGTCTTTGTTTTTATCCTTGTGGTATCGAGTATGGAGTATTTTCCTGAGTATGGGTATCGAGTTGATAATGTTAGTATCGTAAGACTTGGAGGCTCTCCCTAAACCCATATTTCCGTTACGCACCATTGTGGGCGGCGGCCCTCTCCTCTCTCTCCAGCGTGCTGCTGGCGGAGGAGATGCTGGAGGCCGAGCAGTTGTCCTTCTCGTTCACCTCCTCGTTCTGCCGCTCTTTATCGCTCAGGATCCCGCTGTCTTCCTCCTCCTCCTCCCTCTGCTCCTCCTCCTTCTCCTTCTCCTCTTCTTTCTCCTCCTCCTCCTCTTCTTTCTCCTCCTCTTCTTCTTTCTCCTCCTCTTCTTCTTTCTCCTCCTCCTGCTCCTGGGTTCTTTCCTCTGGTTCCTTCTCCCCGGAGTCTACACCGGTCTCCTCAGCTTCTCCTGTCCACAGAAACCAAAGTTAGCTTTCATGGTTGGTGTCTTTGTCCGGTCCATATTGGAGAACCCATGTCTGACTCAGGACCAGGCTAAGGGCTGCTGGGTTATCTGTGCTGTGTCTAACCCCAACCCTAACCCTAACCCTAACCCTAACCCTAACCCTAAGCCTAACCCTGGACTGTGGTCTAGCAGTGCCTTCACCAGCTTAAGACCATCCAGACTGTGTGCATGTGTCGTTCTAACCCTAACCCGTACCTCTACCCCCCACAGTTCCTATCCTAACCCTAACCCGTACCTCTACCCCCCACAGCTCCTATCCTAACCCTAACCC